TGCCGTTTAATACTTTTTAATACTTTTTAAAAGCCTTAATTTTCGCTAAATTGATTTATCAACTTTTAATACTTTTTAAGACCCCGCGGACACCCTGTTAATAAACATGGTTCATATACTCATACTATTCGTTTAATACTTTTGAATAGCCTTATTTTTCGCTAAATTGATTTATCAACTTTTAATACTTTTTAAGACCCCGCGGACACCCTGATGAAAAAAAGAGTCTTTGTACCTGAGCTGAAGTTCACTGCTGTGAGGAGTCCANTTCACTAATAAGTAATGTTATGTGTTTTAGGTTTGACGCCACGGTTGGCCAACTGGAGACTCTGCAGAGTGAATTGGGCCTCAAAGAGGTTGAACTAAAACACCTCGCTCTACAGCTGGAGCAACTGACCAATCAGAATGCAGCTCATGTCTAACGTATTAATAAACATGGTTCATATACTCATACTATTCGTTTAATACTTTTGAATAGCCTTATTTTTCTCTAAATTGATTTATCAACTTTTAATACTGTTTAAGACCCCGCGGACACCCTGACATCAACGCTTTGAAGCCTTGATAAAAAAAAACGATTACTGCTGTTGAATGGTGATATTTCTAGCCATCTAAATGGAGACGAGTAATGAATGAAAAAAAGCTGCATGCAGTGAATAACATGTTTATCTTCCTATTAAGCCGTTACCAAAAAAACACTTATCACTCGGTGTACCTGCAGAGTCTGCAGCGGCTTGTCGTCTCTGAGCTCTAAGATTTGTTCGGCAGAGATTGCCGGCTGCTTTGTCTCCTGCTGAGACAACAACAGCAGATCCTGCTGCTTCTGATGAGACGGGAGAGCAGCCTGCTTATTCTTCAGCTCCCCAACCAGCTCATCTTCCTCTTCTGATGGAGTTATAGCAGGAAGCAGCAGGGAGGTTTCAGCAGCTTCTTTTCCCGTCAACAATACTGCTTTTTCTTTTTCTCTTTCTTCCATTAAGGCACTGAGTTTGTTTTTCAGGTTGTCTTGTTCGTGAGCTTTCAAGTTCATCTCCTCCTCTGCGAGCCTCTTCTTCTCCTTCTCCTCTTCTAGATCCCAGAGAGCCTGCCTGAGCTCTTCTGTTACCTGGCCCCACCTGAGAATACAAAGATTTAAATAAAGTTAATTCAAATGGCAGAACTACTTTCAGTCCATTTTCTGATATTCCTTTCATATTTTTTTTATTATTAAATTGACTTTTATCCAAACGCTTTAACGTAGACTTTAAGATAACATTCATAATAAAAGTCAAGCTTGTGGAAAGCAGTGGCTTTACTTGGACACACGTGTTCTTTTTATCCCCTTTACATTTTTTATTTCCCTGAAAAGTTTAATTGGGATAAAAGTTGAAACAAGCAAACGTTAAGTGTGTGAACTTTATTACAAAGGAATGTATAGGGATAAAACAATTACCCACATGGCCTTTTAAACTGCATTACCTGCTCCTGGCCTCCTCCAGCTCTTCAGCAGTGTTGATGACTTCCTCCCTCAACACATTCAAGTCCCGGTCCTTGAGAAGCAGCTCGTCACGGAGCTCCCCACACTGCTGATTCAGCAGCTCCTTCTCCAGGTCAGTCTGCTCAAACTGCTGCTCGGACAGTTTACTCGTCTCCAGCTCGTCGGGCGTGGAGTCGTAAAACCACTGAGATGGAGACTGAGGGTTGGAATTATCAGGGAGAGGGATGCCAGGAGAACAATGTGGGGTTGAGGTGTTATGACGGTTGTCGTCTTCTTCGAGGAAACGGTTTGAGATGGACAACAGAGGCTCATCTCCCAACACTTCACTGTTCAGCTCAAAACTGAGAAGTACAAAGACACATTAGGTGATTAAAGGAGCCTATAAACAAGATGTATTTGATATCCCACTTAGAGTACTGTAATACTTGCAGTGTTTCCCATACATTGATTTATTTCTGGCGGGCCGCCACAATTAAATATCCTCCGCTACAAATGGATCTCATAAAAAATAAAATAATAATTCTTTTTTTTTTTTGTCTGATCTGATGGATAGTGAGGTGGGCTGATGATCGGAAGGTTGCTAGTTCAAACACCGCCTGGAACACCACTACTAGTGTGTCCTTGAGTAAGGCACATAGCCCTCAGTTACTCCAGGGAGAATGTCCCTGTAGTTGGTCATTGTAAGTCGCTTTGGAATAAGGCATTGGTTTTTGTCATTGAAGTGATTATTACTATGAATCCAAACACACGGAGAAAACATGAAGCAGTTCTCTAACCTGTAGTCTGCAGAGATGTCCAGCTGACCGCAGCGCTCCAAGCTGTCACCGGCCATTGAAGATTGAGAGTGTGCAGGACGATGTGAGGACATGTAGCGCTCCATCAGAATATCCACAGATACATTCATGCTGTTCTCAACAGGTCCTGTTTCCAGGTCAGCTTCGTCTAGATGAACCTTTTCATCAAAACTAAAACCAGCTTTGGCTTTGTTCTGCCGATTCTTAGAAGCCTTGAGTCCCAGGACCTCCTCCTCTCTGAACTTCAGTTCCTTCTCCCTCTCCTCCAGCAGCTGCCTGACTCCCTCCACCTCCTCTCTGTGCTCCTCTTTGAGCCTCAGCATCTCCTCCTCCTGTCTCTGGAGGCGAAGAGCGGAGCTGGCCACCTCCTCACCGAGTCTCCTCTCTGCATCGGCTTCCTCCTGAAGCCTTTTCCTCAGCTCCAGCACCTCTCTGTTCAGCTTCTCCTTCTCCTCCTTGTACTGCTGCATCTCAAGGCACTGGGTTTGGACTAAGCTAAACTGCATTTGGAGGTCTTGCAGCTGTTCCTCCTTTTCCTTTTGTTCCTCTTCCCTGCTTTTCTTCTCCTTCTCCAGTAAAGAAAGCACATGTTGGTGTTTCTCCATCTCCAATGCTAGTTCTGCATATATGCGTTGGCTGTTCTTCCGTTCTTCTTCCAACTCCACCCTCAGTTTTTCCAGAGCAGTGTCAGTCTCAGTGCTGAAGCCTTCAACACACGATATTGTCTCAGGAGCTGCACTCCCTGATGGTGCCTCCTTGTGATTGAGGTCTGCATCTTGGGAGCAACGGCCATGCGGTTGTCGGGTGTTGAGGACTTCAGCCCCCGACTGGCTTTTGATGCGCAGAAACTCTACACTGGTCTGTGGGAAAGACAATCCAGAGAGTATGCAGGTTCAGTTGCTGTGCATGTGACTAGTGAAGAGGATGTTTGTAGGTGGAGAGATGCTGCAGATGTAGCTTTGAGTGGCACTTACCTGCTGGAGCTGTCTCTGCAGCCCCTGGATCTGTCCAGCTAGCGACTGCGCCTCCAGCTGAACCTGGTCTCTGCTGGCGAGCGCCTCCTGCAGGTTGGAGCTGAGCCTGGCAATTATTTCATTACGCCTCTCCACGGCCTCCTGTAGCTGCTGCAAGTGGATTCCAAAAAAAATTGTGGGTAAGGTTTTAACAAGGGCAGATATACTTTATGTGCGCAATAATACATATGAAATAAGACCATTTTCTTTGTTGCAAAAAAATCTAAAATAGATAGAATATAAATTTGCCTATAGAAATAAAAACAGCTAATTTTCAGACTTTAGAACACGATGTGAGACTATAGTCAAGACAATTTGATGCCTTGAATTCAGGTACCACGACTTTGAATATTATTTTTACAACCTTTCCACTACTTGAAAAAACCCGGTTTAAACCCATTGCTCTCCACGTGGACAAAATGTAGACACACAGAGCTGTATCTTCAGATCAGTGCAGCCATGCATAAAAGCAGACAGTTACAGTTCCCCATGGCTTCGTGATGACACAGAAAACAACTACACAAACCCTCTTAAATCATACACACTGCTAAACCAAAACTAGACTCCCATTTTCTTATGGGTCACTAAAGCATGAAGACAAATGACTCCATATGACCAAACAGATATAACACTGCAACACAGCATGCAAACAGAAACATTGATTTATAGAATAGCTTCAAAGCTCAGTTTCCAATGTGTGAATTCAGAACCTGGGATTATAACAGTGTTCATTCATGACATTAAACCCTGCTCCTTTTTTCCTTGTCATATTAAATCCTACTTAAGCCCAGCTGAGTATTTAAAGCAACAGCCAAATAAAAATAAAAGGGACTACTTAAAAAGACATGAAGGTAGTCAGATGCTTTAACATGCACAAGGAGATCAATAAACTCGCCGTTAGTGTTTTATCATTGACTGAGTATACCTTGAGCTGCTCTTTGCCGGTGAGTGCTACCAGCTCCTCTTCTTCAATATCTTCCACAGGGGACGGGCTTTGCTCCAGGGCGGGGGGCTGATCCTTCTGAACCTTTGATTTCTCCGGCTTCTGGGGTTCCTAAAAGATTAAAATTGTATCGAATCAAGGCTTATTTTGTTCCACTGTGACCAATAATTTTGTGAAGAAAACATCAGTGCAGTTCATGTGTACTCTAAAAACTTTCCCTTTAAAAAAAAAAGGCAGTAAATAATGCCACAGTTAATCCTGGCCAGGTTGCTATGACAACATGCCCTACAGGCAACGTAATGGTTAGTGACCCATTTCTCTAATGTATGTTTACAGAGCAGGGGGCACAAACCACTTGTTTAAGCAGACAGTGAGCTAACACATTCAGACAAATACTCCAGGTCAAGTACTGTGACCCGTTAAATTGTTGTGATGAAAATGTCCAGCTGTTTTACTTCAACCAGTAGTCATTCATTCTACACAAATCATGTCTTAAGTCTCCTCTGTAACTCTACTAATGATGAATGACTTCTAATCTCTCTGCGATCAGTGGGCTACCTCATGGTTGGTCTTCTTGTTCAGCTCCGTGTCATTGGCTGAGGAAAGCGCTGCGTCTACGGGTCGGCCTTGCGTCGCTCCGTCATTCTGCGAGACAGTCTGGCCCTTCCTCTTCTGCGTCTTTTTCGACGTCCCCGCACTGTTGCCTTTCGCCCGCTTCTGTCGGTAGCAAGCAAGCTGCGCAGGAAGGACAGCGAGAGGTAGACGGACACATAGGTCAGGACCACTGAGCACCACCACACTATCAGCATGGTGATGCTCAGGGGTCAACGGTGACAGAGAACTGGAGTCCAGATTTAGCTCCACAGTTGAAAAAGTTATCAAGGTATCATTCTGAAACTATAACACAAAGTGAGTAATAAATACAAGTTGGTGATTGTCCTCACTGTAGGAAGAAAGTAGATGGGCAGCCCTTATTTTTGATGAGTCAGACTTGTGCACCAAAAAAAAAAAGACAGTGCCCACGGAAGCAAGAAGAAATCCCAAACTCACACCCAAAATAGGCTGACGAAGTATCCAAGTTTAGACTGAGGTGACGATGCTAAATATTGCCAAATCTTCAGAGCTTTATAAACCCAAGAGAAGTGCAGAATTTAGTGACACACATTGGACAGTCTCTCAGCAGACCAGAACCAGCACAAGGCTGCAAAGATAGAAAAGTACATTATCCATGTAAGAATTCCTCAGCATGTCAGAAAGCCAAAATCAGAAAAAGGGAAACTGGTAAAGAGATGCTTCTTTAAAAGCATTACAACATCCTCTTTGAAATCACAAAGGGAATACAAACACAAAAACAATCAAAAATGCGATCCTGAGAAGTTCATTCACAGTGAAAAAAATCATAACCAATCAAGTCACAATATTTAGCTTCAAAATCCAGGGGGAATGATTTGGTACAAATGCACCTCAGGCCATCTCTCTGTGCAACTCCTCTTTTTAATCGTTTTGTCTCTCTTTTTCCTCTCTCTCTGCCGGTCTCTCTTCTTTAAGCAGCTTAAATCAGATTACAGCAGTCCACATTGTGACAGAGACCCTCATGAATCCCTCCATAAATATCTGACAGTCACTCATCAACTGCCTTCCTTGCTGGTGGTCAGACCTGTCAGCTGTTCCTCATCAGGCAGTTGGTCAGCTCCCCTGTCCAGATGTAGATCTTGCAGTCTGTAAGCAGCAGCAGCACATTGTGCCAAACCCTTCATCCTAAAACTCCCTGCCACATCCCACGTACAGTGCAGAGACATCCACAAACTCTGGGAAGAGGATGGCATGTGTTCAGTCTAAGGAAAAAGGGTGGAGACTGGGAGATGCATTCACATGGAGAGGAGGAGACAGAGCTCTGTGTGAGGCAGGCATCTTCAGAGCGTGAGCATGCTCAATTTAATTTGAGACTGTATGGCACTGGGAGAGGTACTTGTTGCTTTGTGCAATGAGACACATGAATGTAACAACATTGTGAATGCATGTGCACCAATGTTCATTCTGATCACATGCTACATGCCTGGTTATAAAATGACATTGTATATTTGCTCTGAACTCTTTTTAGTGCCATGCAACCATCGCCATATCATCTTCCCATTTTGTCTCTTAAGACAAAACAATAATTTCCTCAACCTTTCTTAAAATTTCCTTTTGACCTCACATCATCGTCACTGAAAACCTCACCCTTTTTGTCCTTCCATCACCGCCTCCGCCTTCCACAACACACACATCACATCTCAGAGAAACATATTAGCCAGATGAGCGGTGTTTTGCCCAAGGCCGCTTCCACATTACCGAGAGTCTGACTAACCGGCTGGGTGGAGCTTGTTGTGGCAACATCTGATGTTATTGGACTGATGAAAGCTACTATTGTGTTCTAAACAATGACAACACCAAGACACCTCACAGGATTATATTTTGTTGTGTTTGACTGTATACATACTTGCCATGCTTTTAGTGTGGCAAAAAAAACTGCACTTTGTGATGCGCCAAATACAGTAAAGGCAACTGCCAGCAGTGCATTACCATAGCAACACCATTGATGTGAGAAGAAAGTGCAACATGTTGAACCTTGTCAAATCTCATGGGCTCACTGCACCACCTGATGGCCTGCAACCAGCATGGCAGTGTGTGCAAGGTCCGTGACTACATTCAATTAATAATGCAAAAACAAATTTCCTTCACAGTTGGATCATCTGTGGTGCAAGTCATTGATTGAAGAGTGGGATTGATTCTCAAAAGCTTAGAGCAATCATATCATGGTCCAGAAAAACTGAAGAAAGTCCTGGTTGCCCAAAAGAACAAAAAGCAAGAAGACCAAGATCGCAAAGAAATATACCCACAAACCCACAATACCATGACAAAGTCTAATGTCTTTGCCAGTCACCAGTTTCAATACTTACCGACTGGCTTCTAGGCATGTCGGAGGCTTTCTGTCATAGAGAATATCAGTTGTTCAGTTAAGAAAGTATTTTGCATCATGTTAATGTGCCACCCGCATATTTTTGAATGATTTATACTATGAGCTGAGTTTGAACTACCACATCTAAGAAATACACTTCGAATGGCAACTCAGACCGGTGACCTATTTCTAATTATATATTTTAGACAACAATTGACCTAGTTCAGTTGTTAATACAGGATAGACCATTCTGTATTATTGACCCAGAACTAATATGGCCTTCTATTGAGGTGAACGCAGCTATTTGCTTTTTCTATTTTGACAACACCACAGTAGCATTTTTAGACTAGTTCAAAAGAAGCCATAAAAGAAAAAATATTACTACCAAATTCTTGTAATTTTCAAGTATTTTGTAAGTTTCACAACTTTATACAAATAATAAATGTTTTATAAATGTTTTTCTCTAATGGTATGTTCGCTGTTGAAATGTGTTTTTGTAAAAATCATATTTTATCCAAACGGGCAATAGGTAAAAAAAAAAGTCAATCTAAAATGTGCACAACTAATAAAGAAACCATGGGATGCACCTGCTCTGTGTCTTGAGACAGCTCAAATCAATGTAACATTTTAACAACGTTTTTTTCAGAGGTAAGAAAACAATAGTCTATATTATTTCTAAATACGTGTACATTTCGGTCTATGCTGAACCCAAAGTGTAAAGAAGTGCTTCAAATCATCAGGCGATCACCGTTAAGTTACTCCATAAGTGTTATTGTTGTCGTTAGCCTTGTGCAAACTCGCTAATGATCAATCCGCGGGAAATGCGCGGCAACCTGATAAAGTTACGAGCACCAGTAGTTAAACGGACAAATGAAATGTATGAAAACACACAAAACGTACGATTATGTGAAAGTGGGTGTAATGTGTGCAGTGGACCAACGCTATGACAAAAGAGTTGGCTAGCGTCAACTGCTAGCATTCAGTATTAGCGTGCGTTAAAAAAAAGAGCAACAAACCTTGGCTCTTCCAGTTTCTAGTTTCCTCTGCCGTTCATCGTCATCCATTTCTTTGGTTGGATAAAATCATTAGAAGTGTGGGACATGAGTCCTTATTCAACTTAAAAGCACACTAGACCTTCACTTCTAGCACAAGTTGGCTAAAACTAAATCTTTGAGCTTCCTTTGAGACACAACTGTCAACAGATAATATTCAATATGGCCGCCAAGTCTTTGCAACTCCGCCCTTAACGAGTTTCCCAGAATGAACAGACCAATCATATCCTTACGTTTCACGTCTTCAGCCAATGGGATTTTTGCTGCTCCAGCAAGTATTACATCGTTCAAAAACGAGAGACCCGTTGACCAATGAAACGGCTGTGTCAGTTCACCAATCTCAGACTGACGGCCCTTGAAGCCAATCAGGAAAGGCAAACAAAAAACTTACCTTCGCTCACTTTCTTGTGGACTGTCTAACGTAACGGTTAAATTTGGTTAACCGTTACATATGCTTTATGTATGCTTTACAAAACAGGGTAATAATGACCATGATTTATTAAGTTAATGTAACTATGAGAAGTTAAATCTTGTGTTTTATGTGCATTGTGCAGGTTATCTTTATTTACATTAAGAGTGACAACCCCATTGGGTAACGTTGCCTGGCCTACAGTCAGGTTTTGAAAGTCTCACTCCCTCTTCTGTTTCTCAGCATAGATGTTGTTATGCAGGTCAATGCCAGCGGTAAACAGGTGTGTCCCATGGCAACCGCTGTGTATAATGAATTCCTGACTCAAACAAACATTTTATTCCAACAAACAGAACATATGATATAATAATAGTTTGTGTAATATTTTTAGCATGGCAGTTTTATGGTTGATAAAACGTCAACATTGAAACGTAAACGGCTGGAGAAGGTAGAGGTGAGAGGATAGTCTATCGTTTGGGGAAAAATATTTCTCCAATTTACTTTGGTAAATTTCAGCAGATTGTGCCATGCCCTAGGTGAATGGTATGAAAAATACGTTTTCACCAAATTGTTATAACCAGGGGAGCGTGGTAGGTAAGAGTAGCCTAACTTACCTAACTACCAGAGACAGAGAAGGGTTAAAAGCTGGTAGTCTAAACGTTTAGTATTGCTTCATATGTAATCAAACAAAGTAATATACCAATGCATTTTGACTTCATGGAAACATTTTTAGCTGAGACGAAAGCGAAAAGAACATCCGCCCGAATAGGGACTTGAACCCTAGACCCTCAGATTAAAAGTCTGATGCTCTACCGACTGAGCTATCCGGGCTCTGCTGGCATGTCATACGTGACGCATAATAAACATAAAACAGGAAAGATTTTATTAACTTCGCTTGACATTTGTTACATTACCGTTACACTTACAACAACATACAACGTTACCGTTCTTTCTGTGTCGATAAAGATAGAGCTTTGAAAGCAGCTACCTAGTAGTAAACTAGTTAGCCGTATGCTCATTTAGGCTATGCTAACTCATCCTACTGACTCACCTTCAACGGCACCCTAGCGTCAACACACAAAGTCAACACAAAAAACATTGCTTTTTTTCTTTAATGAATTAATTTACATCTGTACAAATGATATTTTACAGGATTTATAAAACAAACAACAAAACCTCTAAACCATACTCACTTTTATCTTGAAAGTGAAGCACTGCACCATTAACCATAATAATAGTGATAACAATGTGACAAGGCTTTTTTAAATTCCTATCCAAGTGCACAACAGTAAACTTATCCTATTCACAACAGGCAATCATCATGGCACATCCCTTTTATAAATAAACTATTTAAAAATATGTATAAGAAAGATACACAACGAATAACCCCAGTAAGGTGACACCCTCTGTATTAACAGATAATTAAAGTGCATACTTCTTTGCTAAAAGAAATTGTGGTTTAATGACAGCAGAACATGGGAAAGTCATGCTGTGATTAAGCTGGATGTGGAGATGGTCATGGGAAAGTAATGTTATTTTGGGATGAGTTGCAACTCTTTAGAACAATGTGTAGCTGATGGTCATGCACTTGTGCTCGAGGTTTTTTTTGTATGGCACATACGTTAATATTACACGCTTAAAACAGCCTTCTCTGTTTGCTGCGCCATTTCGCAGGGTGAAATTAATAAATCCTGGAAAAAAAAAAAACTAGGTTGAATCTGATTAAAATGTGCTTACATACAGCATGACTGGTTACACACACAATGTTGGCCTTTTCATTGTGTACATTTGATTAATTTTACATTCTAAATGATTCCTGTGAAATATCCTAACATTTAAAGTATTTACACAGTCCATGTGTGCGTTCTGCAAAATACCAGGCTACACTGTACAATTATCTTTTAAACAAGAATTTATATGTGCAAACTGAGCCAGACTCTGAACATTTAAAAAATACACATTTTGTTACGCAATACATGCAGAAATAAATAAAAGGTAAGGAGTAAAATGGTATTTAAAACGTGGCATGGAATTTTTATACTATTTGAGGCCTTCATGTGTTTTGTGAAGAGGCAGAATGTGAGCTGAAGTACAGAGCACAGGGTAGGATACAGAGCCTCCAACTTCTGGTACACTAATACAGTAAGATACAAACAATGAAAGTCATTGTGTTAGAAGCATCTTTCTGAACATATTCATTGCAAAAGGGGGAAACAATACAGATAGCACAATTAAGATTATTGTGATCACATTGTGAGCCAGTTTTAACCTATTTTTCTACAGCAATAGTAGCAGAATAATACAGGAAATTAAGTGTTTTTTGTTAACATCATCTAAGCACCACATGCACTTTAATTATATTTTGACATTATAAGAGAGCAAAGCATAATCTGATGGCATTGATGGCTATTATAAATAACTTGATCCTGTAGTTCCTCTTCTGATACACACAATCAGATATTCACCCTGTTTGCACGTGGTAAGTCTTAAAGTATCTTTGAATGGTTTATCATTGTAACTTGTCCAGATGATTTCACTCATAAAGTTTGTAGAGATCATCATGGTACACTGGACTGACACATATCCATCTTCACCTGTGTCAGATCAGAGGGTTAATCCTGGTGAAAAGGTTTGTTTGAAGACGAGGAATGGTTATATGGACATCTATGAAGGATTTGTCGCTGATACTCATCCACATAGCTTGTTTATGTAACCTAAAGTGAGAGAATGAGAACAAAAAAAACAAATCTACTTGTTAGCACACACAGGAAAAATAACACCACCATTCCAATCACACACATAATCAATTCACCTTGTGTATGTGAGGAGGCATATCGTCCTCTAAGCCCTCTTCTGGTAGTGTATCAGGGTGTCGGGGCGCTGCCTGACCCTCCTCTGCCCACCCTCCCATGGGCACACCACGGGCTGACCTCAGTACTCTCCCCCCTGCACTAAAAGAGTCTGTAAAAACAGAAAAAACAAAAGACAGATGAGTTTAGGAAGTGCCAGTAATTACCTTGATTGATATAGCACCTGTACAGTAAAGATGCAACAATTCGTCAATCAATAGAAAATGTATTGGCTATACCTATTTTGATGCCAAACATTTGCTGGGTTCATGCTTCTTCAGTGTGAAAATGTGAAGTTTCTTTTAAATACATGATAATATACTCAATAATAGCTTTATTGTACAAAACATACAGTTTGTAGATGTCACCTTCGGCTCTGGAAAATTACACAGGACATTTTCACTATTTTCTGACATTTTATTGACAAAAGGATTATTTGAGAAAATATAAGAAGGATTAATCCATGATGAAAGAACATTTACACTTGCAGCTACTTTGCAGTAAACTGTTCTCATTTCTTAAAACACATGCAATGCTATCGTTTCTATAGTAAGTCAGTGTGACATGAAATAAAAAGACATTAGGTAAATATTCAAAGTGAGAAACTCAACTTTACACTTGAGGAAAATGTTCATGTTCCTGTAGATGTATTTGTTCAGTCAACTTGTTTTTAGTATGTAAAGATAATGGCGTTACAAGGAGTGCCGAAATCTTGTGACAACATTATGCAACAATATTATATAGTATTCTTACTATGGCATGAGTTACAGAGACTTTAGAAGAGTTTGTTGGGGACGATCATACACCTTTGCTCGAAGACTTTTTTTTAATAAACAGTAGTCATGACAGCAATAATAATAAAGACTGGTAATGCTAAAAACTATATAATTCAAATGCACATGATGTGAAACATGGAGAGTACCTGCTGTAGACCCACTAAACGGCCGTTGGCTGCTGCTCTTGTGTGACGATGCAGCCCCCTCCTGGCCCCGGGTGGTACTGACGATGGCTGAAGCTGACGTGGGAATGGCACATGGACTGGGAACTGTGGTGGGGAAAGTGTGTGAGCGAAGTAAGTGTCTGGAGTGAGGGTTGGGTTCGCTCCTCACTTCATCGGGGATGCTGTCACTGCTTTCGTCACTTTCCTGCCTGTGCCATGTGTGGCGGGACAGCTCGCCACGGGACTGCTGCTTGTGAAACTAAAGGGAGATAAAAAAAGATAGCATTAGTGCCCTGTTCATCATTATATATATTGTTTTATTCCATTTTTATTTAACTACCAATATCCCCATGGATATTCAGTGAACACAAGACTTGAAACAAATCAGCAAAGATATCCTCTGTCTATTCTATTCTCACACCTGCTCACACACAATTACCTCATGCATGTAAAGTGCATGGATGCTCATCTCAGTGGAGGCGTACTCTGAGAGGACCAGACTGGTGACCTGACCCTCCCATGCACTGCTGCCGGAGCTCACAGTCCAGGCATCCGTTCTACAGAAAAAGAATACAGAAGTTTGAAGAAAATGAGATCCTACATTGGAAACACTAGGGAAATAAAGACGAGGAAAATAACAGAGAAAAACTGATATAAATGAACTTACACTTCTCCGCTTTTTTATGTATTCTAAGTCCCATGTAAAATGTCCTTGTCATTTGTATTTATCTTTAATCCCAACCATCCTGTTGTAAGTACAGTTATAGATTGCTAAAGCGCTGGGAATTTAACCTTATTTTAGTCAACTATTTGTCGTTATATTCATCTGATTATTTTTGAAATCTCAGTCTATATCATTTCACCAAAATATCACTGTTTCTTTTTCCCAAGCCCTGTTGTTGTCACAGTTAACTTTAACTTAAATGTAAAAATATTTAGCTTGAAAAAGTTAGGCATAATTCAAAAGGAAATGTTCCTACCCAGAGCCGGCCATTGCTTTGCTGGTGGTTGAAGTGTGGCCAGAAGGCCTGTGAGCTGCACTCAAGCTTCCCCTCAGTTGAAGACTGCTGCTGATCGGGGAAAGGGAGCGTAAGGCAGATGCCCCATTGCCCAAGCCAGCTGCTGCATGATTGGTCAAAGAGCCGTCTGCGCTGAAATGAACGGAGTTCAGTGTAGACGGACCCAGCAAGACGTTTGCAATAAGGCTCCTCGGCTGCAAGAGAGAGAAGACAGTAAATCAGTATTTACTTCTGACGCTTTGATAACATCTAACTTATGACCACTGATACTCGAGCATGAATGTTGGTTTATCTCTGTACCTCAGACTCAGACAGTGGATGTGTATCTGAAGGACCTCCTGTGGCTTCTCTGTGAACTTTCTCTTTCAGCTGGCTGATGAAGTGTGTGGTCTCCTGAGAAGGCTGCCACTGAGGGTTGGTGATGGCAAAGTGCATCAGAGACAGCTCTGTCTTCCCGTCCTCTGCCTGCTGGTAGATAGACGCCTCTGTCTTCCCCTCAGACATCCACTACAGGAGGAGAGACAATCAACACACAGGTGTTCACATAGACCCTTTTATTCACTCGTCTTTTAATCTAATGTCACAAAGTCTATAGATAAGTATTTTAAAGTGTGTCTTCTTCATCTGTGTATGTCTGTTTGGCTGCATTTGCGGCTGTATCGTTTCATTATTTAAACTTTCTTTAATGAACTTACTTTGTCCCTTTTGTCGACATAAAATGAAAGGACTATGTCTTGATGAACACCGAGCCCCATGTGAATGCAAATACATTATATGCTTTTTTTTTTTAACAACTAAACTAATTTACCATACATTTTTAAGTGCTGTCAAAACAATTTATTTGGGGAATTGAAATGTACTAGTGGTGCTCAAAGATTGCTGCTAGACCGCCCTGTTAATAAGGTGTGTTGAATGTTATGAATTAAGCTATTTAGTACCCCCCTACAGCCCCTCATGTTGCAGTCCCTTACCGCAGGGTGTCCATGCTGCCTGATGTCCATCTGGGCGAAGGAGCAAGTGTCTCCTACCCCAATCACCTCCACAGTGAAGTTCCTGAAGAAATCAATGATCTCCAGAGACTTCCTCCTCAGAGAGAAGATCAGGATTATGGGAGTCACCACTGGACTTATCAGCTCCTCCAGAATAAACACCTGAAAGATAACAGAGAAAAGGCTGACCCTGTACATTTGGTTTACAAAGTACAGTTGTAAAAAAAGGCAAAGCTGAAGTTGAAACATGGTATTTAAAAAGGCATAATCATTGCGATTGAAATCTAGAAAGATTCTTGTTACTTTAGGATTAAATATTAACAGAACAGATGCTGGGACAATCTTGGAGTGGAGTGTAAACCCCTCCCTTAATAAACAAGGTGCTTCTCAGCAGGGCACTATTCCTTGTGAATCGTCTTAAAAGCCAGCAGCATACTGTAAATACATCTTTGGTTTTACAAGTCTCTCTGAGGTATTAAAGCAAATAAGGGAATGGGGGTAAAGCTTGGAAATTAAGAGAAAATAATATTCTAAATCTCTAGAAAAGTATGGATCAACATCATTATTTATTTAGAGAGAGAAGTGATTGCCCTTTTAATTATTCTGAGTCTTGATCTATATTCCCAGTTCAGATTTCATACTCACTGCTTTGTACTGGAAGAGCTGGGAGAACTGGTCTCGAGTCTCATATCTATGTGCATTGCCCTGCCAGTGGTCAGGCATGTAGTGGATATGAGCCAGGATAACCCTCAACAGCTGCTCAGGACAAAACACCATGTGCTTATCTGGGATAAATGATCTGAAGAGACAGAGAAAGACAGAAGTGGTGGCAAATAACTACATCTTATAACTCAAGAGGTTCAAAATCAAATGTGCTTGATAAGTAAATCTGAAAACCCTGTTAGTGAGGATATATCACAAGTTAATTAAAACTGTTCAGAATCTACCTGTTACCTTTCTAATGGGTTATTACTGTAAATGCCTTGGATGATTGAATATAAAGTTATATTAATAGAACTGCCTTATTCCTCAGAGTTCAATTCATAAAAAATGTCCATCATATCTAAGCATTTCAATTTATAGCTATTAACAGACTTCAAATAGTCAAGAGCTACTTAAGGAAGGAAACCCTCTTAAACTCATCCTTGTACCTCAGAATAATCTGCCGAAGAGCATTAAAGGGATTACAAATCCTGGTAGCTTTAAAAAGGGCAATTAAGATTGGCTCAGCCCTAACATCCTACATAAATTAAGATTTGTGTCTTATATTTGTTTGCCTTTCCATATTAGCTGTGTAATGACAAATGTTATAATCTATAGATCCATTATAATGATCTAGATCACAGATACACTGCTTCAGGCTAAACTACATTCTTCACCACCTACTGTATTTACACATTAAGCCAAGATAGGAATAAGCCTCTTGGGCGTTGGATTGCTAATCATTTAATGATTTATTTGTGTAATTAGAAAATGCTTTAGTTAAATAAGCTCCTCTACCTGCAGACTGTGATACACACTCCAAGAAGCGTGATGGATGAGAGAACATGCTCTACTGCCAGGACGTCCTCGTCATAGATAGTCAGTGCAATGAGGACAGCCAGAAGAGACCCGGCAAAAAACGCCACATTTTTAGCAACCACCGTCAGCAGCGGTGAGAGGAAACAGTTCATATACTTGGATGCAGCCTAAAAGAAACAAAATAAGAGTTATAAAACTAGGTTTCAGTGTAAAAGAGCATCAGGGGGTTAGTTAGTGGACTGACTTTGTAGCCTTTGCTGAGGCGGGACATGAGCTCATGGTCCAACTCATTAAAGTGCCGCAGGTAACATCGACCATACAGAGACCAGCATCTCGCTCCCAGAGAACCAGGCTCTCGTTTTATAACCTAGGCACAAACACAAAAAACTTCAGTTTAGAACACTAAATGACAAAGGAAAATGTATGAAGTTTGTGTGTACGCATGTTACCTCTGTGTAGCTAAAGAAGGCGTAGAGAATCTGCCACACCAGAATGACAGGACACAGCAGCAGATTGGCAATCCCAATCCACAGGATACGGGATGCCAGCCTGTCTGCCAGCTCAAGCCTGTTCCCTCCTCTCTTGTACTCTGGTTTCAGGCTCCACTCATTCTCAAACAGAGAACCTGCAGACAAAAAATAAAGGGAGGTAAAAGATGAATCCTTTGTAATTCTAAATCTTGACTAATAGGCAAATATATGAGTGGAAGCATGCAAATGGTCATTTCACCTGAATATGACACCATAGAAACACAGCCACATTCACACACATCACATTCAACATGGACGTACCTGGCCCCCAGAAGAAGATGAGCTCAAAGTTGTATTTGAGACCGCGGGTGTAGAACACAGACTCCCCAAGACCAGGAAGTCGAAATCGCACAGGAAGGAGTGATTTATTCACCATGGCAACCTAGAGAAGTAAAGGAAGAAAGTTTTGGTTTGGGTTTTTTTATGATTAAAAGTAGCATGGCAGCAACTAAACTATGTTTTTAACATTTCATCACATATGTTCCTACCATGTAGTTTTTAAAGCGGAGGATGCGGTGGTAGATGTCAAGCTCCGTTAGTTCTTTTTTATGGATGCAGATCTGGTGCTCCTTCTGGATCTCCACTATCCTGGCCTGAACCTCCTGCCATGTTGCATAAGGGAGTTCTGACTGAAAAGAAAACAAAGTGAAGGTTACTTTCTTTTTCTATGTGATAAGAAGTAACTTACTAAAGTACACAAGCACATTTTTAAGGCATTTCTAAAAAATAACTTCCTGACATGATTTATATCTCACCATGGTCATTTTGAGTGCGTTGATGTAGAAGGATCGGATCTCCCAGTAACAACAGACGTTGTAGAGGAATTTGAGCAGGCGGTGTAGCCAAAACACTCCAGAGATTGTCAGCACAAAAATCACAAATGCATTGTCTCGGATACTGCGGAAGAAAATATTTACTTCAATTAAAAAATGTACATATGTATTTAGCTGCATTCGGATTTTCTGACAAAGATAAACACTGCTTTTCACAAAGATAAACACTGCTATAGTTATGAAAAGAAGTACAGCATGAAAAAGGGCATTGATATTGAGCAACATTTTTGGGGTTGCCTCTTAATTCTGCAATTTTTAAATCATACATAACACGTCACACCTTGATTTTTCATCCTGGGGTATTACCAATTAAGGAATATTCAGGCAAAAACCAGTTCCATGTGATAATGTACACCACAGGCACATACTAAGAAAGCCAGTGTATACATTTGTGTGGATTGTTCTGTTTCACACTCAGATACACAATCCCATCGAAATTACATTTGCAGCTGATTTGCAAAGAAAAAGGATTATTATCGAAATGCAGCGTCACACTCACCGTGCACTGCAGACATCCACAGGGAGGAAGGCATCAGGCAAAGTGACTTTAGATGAATCAGTGTGATTTACGAACTTGTTGGCAAAGAGTATGTCATAGTCCACACAGTTAGCTAGGAACACTGTGAAGCCAATCACAAACAGCAACTGACTGCATGGAGGGAGAGAGGGGGGGAGAGAGAAAAGGGCACTGCCATAAACAAACCTCTTACAGACAAACAGAAACATAAGTTCTGGAGGGTAGGATACATACACTAGCTCAAAGACCTCTCCCAACAGCATACAGGTGAATCCATTCTTCTGGTGCAGATTATAGACGTAGCGGAGGTTAAGGAACATCGCACATGTATCTGAGATAAGCAATCCTATTTATGATCAAAGATATTAACTGTGCAAGATCAAAGTAGCGTAATACAGTCTTAATACAGTAGGAACACATGCCATAGCCTTGTAAAAGGATATTCTCTGGAAAAACAGGTCCAGGTTTTCTATATGATGCCAATGTGCTGCAAAAAGAATCATCACACATTAGTAATGGGGTTGTTTTGAGGCATCAATGAGTGTAAAAGAGGAGGGTGTGTTTATGTGTCTGAAAAGTTCATGATTTGTTTGTAATTTGTTTGTGCATGTCATACATTTGGCTCCTTCAGGCACATGCATCAGCAGGTTCTCCTCTCCGGGTGGAGAGTCGCTGTACGACGCCTCCAGGCGCTGGTACTCGGTGTCAAAGTGTGCCATAGTGACAACAGCTTCAGTCTCACCAGGTAGCTGAGCCCCCCGCTACAGACTGGAGCACAGAGAACGGGAGGGAGAGAGGAGGGGAAGGGAAGGGGAAGTCGTAAACAAGGAGGAGATGAGATAAAAGAGATTTACAATAGCAAAGGTTTACACATCATATCTTGGTTAATAATCAACTAATTTTGACACTTTCACCCTATTATGGAAAATGTGTTAAACAGACCAAAGCCTCCATTGAGGCCTTACTATAAACATTAGACTTGATTTTGGATTAATTTAGTCATTATTGATTATTAATCCTTTACAATATTTGTTTTGCCTGATATTTTAAAGCTCAGGATAAGAAACTCAGAGCTGTATTCATAAACTGTAAAAGTCTGGTTAAAGGGCAGTTTCTTCACAAATGCATACCCCAGACTACTGAACTATCTCCACACATGACTACAATTTAAGAGAGATAAAACATTTGAAAATGTGCCACAAAAGTATAGTAAAGTGTGTTTATAAGATATGGTCCTGTAATTATTTAGTGACAAATTAAATCAGTAGTGTGTATAGCAACTATGTTTCATTTGCCTTCGCCAGTTGGAGTGAAAACCAAAACTAAACTGACAAGGGTCTCTGCCTCAAGATCCTTTACTTAAAGCTGTGACAGCTACATCTAAAAGCTATAATAGCACCAGGAGTTCCCAAAGAGACTCTGCAGATTAATACTGTGTTGACTGAAGACAATGATAAAAGGGCTTGGTGTACAAACCACATATTTGATATAATGATGACATAACATTGGAAGGAAGTATTCAAGTACAACGAAAATGACCTAGAGACTAAATATTTCTCAAGAAAACAATTATGTTATGAAACTGTGAAAACAGAATCTTAAAGTGCAATGACTGAATTTAAATCTGAGAGTTACTACATAACAAATCAGGGACTATCCTTAGTTATGCAATTAATACTTGAGATGTGGTTTATGGGTGCACGTCTTACCTACATATACGGTCTCAAAACAGAGCTATTTTGTGGTTATTATCCAATACAGAGATTATCTTACCTCCATTGCAGTACAGTACGTCCTGTCCAGTGAGGGTGTTTACTCAACATTACCAGCTGTAAAAAAAAAATACGTTCTTGTCAGTCTTATCCAGGACCATAACAGACTCTAGGAAGGGACTGTAAAAGCCATATTAATATTAAAAGGCAACATATAATGAGGCACAGGGCTAAACCAACAAAAGGTGACAGAAATAGCTGATGTTTAGTGGCAGTTTTATCCTGGATATAATAAGCAGCAACACAGACAAGAAAGAAGCTAACACAGGAGATTCAGGTGTTGTTGTTGTCGTGGTTTGACAGCACAGGCCTGGCTCCCTCCCAAAAATAATAAATGTAGGCTATGCCTCCCTTACCGATGGGTTCTTCCTCCTCCGCTGCGCCAAGTTAAAAGAGTCAACTCCAGGGGGATTTTTTTGTTTAATCTAATACCTGTCTTGTTTTCGTTTTTCTGTTTGCTGCGTCTCGAAGTCAAACACGAACCAGTTTCATTTTCCAAATAGCTAGCACTGTGGCGTCTGTCATAGCTGACGGATAAGGACATTACCCAATCAGAGTGAAAGTTCGCTAACAGGAAGAAAGAACAGCCAATCAGATGTAGTTAGAGGCGGGCTCTAAGAAGACATTGCATGTATGAGAAGTAAGTGACACGCCCTGCATGAGACTCCATGACAAGCCCTTCATTTGCTGTGGTTAGGCTTATCAAATGGTCGTTTACTACCACCGTCTGGTCATTTTTTGTAGCACTACTGGATACTGTCAAACTGTACATTCACTGATACTGCTAAATGTAGATTCTACACACAATTGCATTTCATGGTGCAACCCTGAGTTGCAAAATGACAATAAATGATCCTTCAACCTTACATACAAAGATAAATACAAAGATCTATACGTTATTGTTATTATTATACACCAGGAGTGCAATTAAAAGGCAGAGGAAAAACAGCACAAAAAAAAACATCTTCAAAAACAACATCCACAGCTAATATAAACTAGTCATGACGAGATGAAACCTTATGAAGCTTTGAAGCTTTCCAGCCAATTCGTTCTCTCAAGGGTTCATCTCATCAGGATCATCTGAACCCCCCTGTTGGTGTACTGTTAATTATTGCAAATAAATAAATGTCATTATTGCACATGATCCAATTGGTTTGCACTGGCAGTTGTGATATTGCCAAAAATAAAAGTGTATCATTGAGAAGTTAGGACAAAATGAATGGGCAGTGTACTACATTTTGTAAATGATACCTACTTCTGCTTAATGATCTCCTAAAGCTGTTATTTGCCTGTGTGTTGTGTTTTGATGGGTATACATGGGGTGGTGGAGCTGACTATACAGCATCAACATGATCTTTGCAAAGCGAAACTCACCTTCTGTTGCTCTCTGCTGATGAATATTCAAATGTGATTGTTAAGCCTCTGGAGTGACAGCTCGGCTTTTGTTCACTGTGTCACTGAGTTAGTTACACTGTTAACACCAATCACTTTGTGTGAGCGTGTATGCGTGTGCGTGTGTGTGTGTGTGTGTGTGTGCGCATGTGTTTGTGTGTTTGCCTTTGTATATTAAATAATAATACTAGCAATGATGCTATCATTAACCAATTTTCCTTGACAGAAGTGAATTAATAAGTGAGGTCTTTACACACACACACACACACACACACACACACACACACACACACACACACACACACACACACACACACACACACAAACACACATCTTGGAAGTCAGACCACACATTCAGAAAACAGGAAGACAAAACAAACACAAACAAACGCATACGTTCAAGTAATTAATGTGATCTGACATGTTGGCTATCCTCTGTTCTCTCAGAATTTTCTTACAGCTCTAATGCAAAGCTTTTTCATTCTTGCTCTTTTTCTCTCATCTTATTTTCCCATAATCTAACCTTCCTGACAGTGAGTGTTTTTTTGTGTGTGTATATACGTACAGATTTAGAAAAAGGGGCAGGGGTGTCTTGAGTCAGGGGGGATCTATGTAATCCAGTTATTTTTAAAGTGATCTGGCTAATTTATCCGGTCCTCACTAGGATTAGGCTTCGTTCAGTTTAATCCATTTAAAAAAGTCTGTTACAATAAAGCTCAGTATGATATTGGCCAAACAGTAAGTAAGTTACAAGAGTAATGAAATGTGAAAAAATAAAACAGTGTCTCTGATCAATCTTCACAATATTGTTAGACCACGTTTAAACTGTTTTAATTCATTGTATTTAAATTAGTTTATTGATGTTTGAAGAAATCATATGCTGTGTTAGAGATTATCCAAAGAAGTGAGGATAACGTTTATTTTGTTGCCCTTTTCCCTCATCACAGTTGTGGAAATACAAACAAAAATCACTTACATATAATATTTCATTTTAAATAAAATGTCAATTAACTGTTTGGTTCTTCATTGCCACACTTATAATGGATACCTTCTCCTGGTGTTGTATAATATTATTCTAGACTATTGTGTGTATATGTGTGTGTAAGCATGATAGCGCTCTGCTGCAGGCTATAGCTGGCTGATTAAATTACCCCACTGTCTGTCGGGAATTAGGGGGGGTTGCACTGACGGCTAATTTGGTCCAAAGACGTGCTGTCGTGCTGCCATGAGTGGTACTGGGATAGCTGTAATGGGGTAGTGGGGTAGGGGTGTTGGAGAGGGGGTGGGGAAAAGGGAATCAGGATGAAGTCACCCCTGCTCTAGAGCAACTTAATTGGATCAAGCTTCTTCCTTTATGTGCACCCATGTAAACCCAACAAAGCAGGTATGAAATCTACACATGCACGCAGGATGCTACTTGAGACTCCTTAAAATAAATAAATGTAATCGTCCTTGTTTTCTTCTCTCTGCTGGTACCCCTGGGGCAGTTCCCAACATCCCTATCTGTCCCACTTCCTGAAGTGCCTGGATAATATCTAAAACATTCTTCATCTATGGCTCTTATCATTTGAATTATTACATATTGTGAATCATGATTCAGTTAAAACAAGACAAATTATAGTCATTTAGAATACAGAGGTAATGAACACATCATTAGGAAATATGAAAGTATGGTGTATGCTTTTAACTTCAAGGGAATAAATCCGGATGGAGATGTATCCCCATATGCCTTGTGGTCCCATATTTCCCCTGAGAGATGCTTTTGACACACACACACACACACACACACACACACACACACACACACACACACACACACACACACACACACACAATAGTTCAGTTTGATATCAATTTCCTGTCTGGGTTTGATTTAAGTGGGGATGTTTGACAAAGTTAGGTGTGTGTGTGTGTGTGTGTGTGTGTGTGTGTGTGTGTGTGTGTGTGTGTGTGTGTGTGTGTGTGTGTGTGTGTGTGTGTGTGTGTGTTGGAGTGAGAGAGTGAGAAGGAGGAAATAGGATGTAACCTAAACAAAGAGATTGCTTATCTCTCCTTGTATTTTGCCATCAGGATGAGCAAGGTATACAAATCATTGCGTCGTTCATATCGTTAAGACAACAGGAAAGGAGGTTAAACTTTTGTTCACACTTGGGTTATACGCTAGTGTTGGCTTTATTAATTTATTTTTAAAATAGTTTGCATCTTGTGTGTTATAAAAATAGTTGTGTAACTGTTTTCCAAAATAACCTTATTAAGACCTTGATTTCATTTTTAACAGAGGAACATTAACTGTGTCGCATGAGTCATACAGATCAGGTCACATCATATGTCCCTCTAAAGTGTGTGTGTGGGGGGGCGTGCATCAGACATGAATGCATGAATCATTGTGTTGTTCAGTATATCTGTCCACAGGGACTGAACTCTGACACCACACTGCATGGTCTCTCAGAAAGACCACTGGCTAAGCATCTTTATATTGCTTTTTTCACTTTCTCTCTATTTCACGATAATAATATGGAGAGGCAATTATACTTGTAATAAAAAGAAACATATTGATATTCTTTTTAAATGACCAATTTAGATTCCTATTTCCACAGCTTTTGCCGATTGTTGCTATTCGTTTTGTGTATCGTTAATTCATTAATGACCAGCCATGCAGGTGTCCTTCAGACTTGCTCACTAGAAAGAAAGGTTAATGGTCAATATCGGCAGTCTTTTAAATACTCAATATAGAGTCAACAATATATGGAAGGATGGTGGCAACTGGCAAGTAAAGACAGATAGAAACTGTCTGGATAAAAACTAATCTTAACACTGAAAAGAAAAGAAAACTCCACATTTTGGGATATATATGCTTATTTGCTTTCTTGCAAAGTTAAATGAAAAAAATATTCTCTTTAGTAGTTTCAATCTCCTCATATAACTGTCTGCATGAGAGGAAATAGGCATTTACCCCTCAATGATCAAGTATTTATTTAAGTTGAAGAGTGAACCTTTGATTCTAAAATATCTTTGGCCAGCCTTCTGATTTTAGTGGATGGTATTGGCTCATCAATTGGTGTTTTAATATTTGATATCAATGTTGAGTGTCTTGATGAGTTTCTGAGCGGCTGTAGCGGTAGCCCACACTCCCTGCCTAAGTTTAATATTCAGTCATTCAAAGTAAATTAAATTACAGAGACTAAGTAACCTCATCATCTCAATATTACATTTCCTCAAGAGGGAGTGTGAGTTGTTCTCGTTGTGAACCACATAAACCATAATGTAGATTGATTAATAGAAGGTTTTAATAAAGCTGCTGCAGTTATGTAACATATGTCTTGTACTGCCAGAAGAGTCACTTAGTTTGAAGTATTGGAGATTACAATAGAGATTCAATTATAATAGTATACATTTTAGAACGTTTTTGTGAAGTTTATCCCATTTAATTACATTACACCAAACAATGCATCTTTGTTTCTCTGGGGCCATTTCAAAACCAAAAGAGAGTATTTGTCGAGTACCAAATTTAGCCTCAAGGCCTTGCTTTGGATTGCCCCATTTCACCGGTTAACCAGTACATAGTAAGGTTGATAATCAATCAGGACACAATGAGTTTCACTGCATCCCTTTGATTCAGCATTTCCTTTCAGACATAAACTGATCACTCTGCAGGGACAGCGACGGGTCACAGAAGAGGGGCGAGAGAGAGGTTAATAAATGAAGAGAGATTTATGGACGCTCTGGTGATAAAACTGATTGGCTGTGACATTGTGAGTGATGCCTGATTAATGCATGCAACATATGACATGCACACAGATGCACAGATGCACACCAGTTACCAGATACATGTGTTGAATGATATGCTCGTGGTTAATATGTAAGTGTTGTCGGTGTCATATAAGGAGAGAGAGATCCATGCAATGGGTTGGCTCAGCTTTGAGCTCTTCAGTAATCTGTCTGCGTTTTCACTCAGAGAACCAGAGCACTTATTGATGATCTGTCCACAACACACACTTCTCTCTGATTTACAGACCACACACATTTTCAGTGTAACAGTAATAGGAGAAGGAGACATCAAGGAGAAAGAGAGAGGGAGTGCTGTGGTTAGATGAGTAAGCAGAGTTCTTTTCCTGACTCGCA